AATCAAAACATACTTTCCTATTTTTAAAATTAAAATATACCTTTTATTCATGCAAGTAGGAAAGATCCTTTCTCTATTTTTTTTCACTATTTTCACATTTCCCAACCGATTGTGAAATATCTGTTCTCGGCAAATGATTGGTCGAAATTTAATTATGACGTCAGGTTTCCTTAGTTTCTTCTGATTTTCCTATTGTGACGTCATGAAAAAAGGCGACCATGCCTGAATACCTCACATATAAACAAAACACAAATTTCTGCAAATCTTTAAAAAGGAAGGATAAAAATCATAAGAGAAACAGATTCCACCACTATAACTCGTTTATTACGATATATTTCTCAACTCTCAACAGTTAAATTTTAATTATTTAAAAGGCTCGGTAAAATTTAATTGTCTTGAGTGGAAATATATCGTAACACACTTGTTGCAGTTATGGAATCTATATTTCTTTTATGGTTGTGGCCTGTTATCTATTTCTTGCATGAAGAGATATCATCTCGTATCACACTGCAAGGATTGTGATATGAAAAAGTGATACGAAAACAGCGTTATATTGATTGGCTTATCCACCATCATGAGACGATATTAAACCATTTCCATTGGCTATTCGTTAGGTCATTTATAAATTTCAAAGGTTAAGACGATGTACATTTCGTCCATGACAACGGACATATGGGATTTCTTCAATAATATACAAAACACTCACACTTTTCACCTGGAAATCTTCTTTTTGTTAAATTTCATTACATTCTGAAGCTTACAAAATGTTTTAAAATGTCTGATGTTAAAGTTAGACGCCGGAAAAGGACATATGACGTCATGCTGGTATGTGCAAAAGACAAGATCAACTATTTGCGGAATTTTTAAAACAACACAATAAGAGTGTTGACCATAAGAGAAATAGGTTTAACAACTCGTGATAATTGGATATCGCTTGATATCAACTCTCTTTATTGAATTTGTATAGTAATAATAAACTCGCAAAAGGCTCGTTTATTATTATATTGAAATCAAATAACTCGAGTTGATATCAAGCGATATCCAATTTTCACTCGTTGTGAAACCTATAATTATATATCATATTATTCGGGAGAAAAATATCTACAAGCTATGTCTCTTTGAATAATAAACCTAGAATCAAACTTTACTTAAACCAGGTGTATCATACGTTGTACATGCTTTCTACATTATGAACATCAGAAGATGTGGTATGATTGTATACATACAACTATCCACAAAAGACCAAGGATCACCTACATACAGCCTTCTGCAATGAGCAAAACCCACACCACGCCAATTTTTATCCTTTGTAAAATATCGGTTATTGACACATGACGTTCCAGAATTCACCTAATACTGGAAATGGAACACCTATTTTCTGGTTTTAAAAAGCCTGCTAGGTAGCAAAGAACCCCACAACATAAAAATATGATTCTGGTGATTAAATTGATGTCTATTGTCTAGTTAAAACCAGTAATGCATATCAGATGAGACCATGTTAATGTGATATATGAATATGACCCTGCTTTGTACTAGGTTGACACGCTGAACCCGAATTTGTTAAACATGTTAGTTCGCAAGGTAACATTCAAATTGAAATCATGTTACTTTACCAGGACACATTAATCCGACTCAGAACCATCCAGTCTTTCTCCTTACTCATAAATGCTTCGTGCTGTCGGAGAAACAGTAAATAATAGATTTTTTTTCAAAATGTTCAAATCTTAAGCTGAACTCGACTGGACGGACCAAAAAAAAAAAAAAAAAAAAAAACTTCAGTCTTCTTCTTTGCAAGATGATTTTCTGTACTGTACATGTATATTTCAAGCACCAAATTGTAATATATTACGTTCTAACTTATCAACGAATCAATATATGTGAACAAAGCATATAATCTTGTAATGTATTTATTAACGAGATCTATAATGATAAAAACCTAAATGTTTAGGAATATTTGTTTATCATCATCATGTATGCATACATGATTAAACGACAATTTCTCCCATTTTCTTTTAATTCATGAATCTTTTAAGAAATCCTAACTTATAACAGTATATAAACTAAACACCAAGATAAGATGAACATGATGAAGATAAGGCTTAATGAGATCAAACCAAAATTCGTTAAAAAAAATAAGTGAAAACTTCTAGAAAAAAACATAGAAAGCAAGATACAATAAGTCTGGCAAAGTGTAAACTTTTTATAGACGAAAACATATAGATCACATATCTATCGAGCCCATATTGATTGTAAATTTGTAAATATCTTTATTATGTGTAGCGTAAACAGCAGTCCTCAAGTATGCTAGTTAGTAGGCACTCTGTTGGTAACTGTACTGTTGAGGCTTGTTTCCCTGTATTTTACTCTTAGGACATTTACATTGTTTGTAGGCTAATAATTGTATGTTTATGCACACCGTTTTGAAAGACAAAGACTGCTTCTGCATATGTTGAACACGTAGTAAGAGAGTTATTGTTTTATTACACTATTGATTTTTGTTTGTGTCTGAAATTTCTAGACAATGATTTATTCCTTTACATCACATGGAGACAGATAGTATTATTTTTATATCTACAAAAATAGAATGAGTAATCTTTTTTTTTGCAGAATTTAATTTTTTACTTTAGTTTCATGTTATAATTCAAAGAATATATATTCAATGTAATAGACTCATCTGAAGCCATAGCACCTCCCTTAAATTATAAATTGATGTTATTTGATGATTTTGATGATTTTTTTTTATGATAAAACGTTTAAACCCGCTGCATTTGTTTGCACCTGTCCTAAATCAGGAACCTGATGTTCAGAGGTTGTCTTTTGTTGAAGTGGTTCATAATTTTTCTCGTTTCTCGTTTTTTATATAGATTAGACCGTTGGTTTTCCTGTTTAAATGGTTTTACATTAGTCATTTTTGTGGCCCTTTATAGCTTGCTGTTCGGTGTGAGCCAAGGCTTCATGTTGAAGGCCGTACTTTGACCTAAAATGGTTTACTTTTACATATTGTGACTTGGATGGAGAGAGTCTCATTGGCACTCATACCTCATATTCTTATATCTATTGTATGGGATTTCAATATGGTTGAAGGCCGTACGGGGAAGAATAGCTGCTTACATCTACGTCATTTGGTCTCTGGAGGATAGTCATCTAAAAAAAAACCATGCCCCCTTTTTTATTTTCTTCATAATACTCGGGGAAAAACACTTTGTCTTAAACCGAGGCTATTATTTTACATGATCAAAGGTAAACACAACATAATCGTGAGTACACCATATACGAATAAGAAGATATGGTATGATTGCAAATGAGACAACTCTCCACCAGAGACCAAGTGACTTAGAAGCTAACAACTATAGGTCACCGTACAGCTTTCAACAATGAGGAAAACCCATAAAGCACAGTCAGCTATAAACGGCCCTGAAATGGCAAAATTTAAACATTTCAATCAAAAAAACTAACGCCCTGATTTATGTGAAAAACAATAAAGGAAAAACAAATATGATATACAGCAACAATCTACAACCACTGAATAACAGACTCCTGACTTGGCACAGGCACATACAGAATGTGGCGGGGTTAAACTATGTATTTAACAGAAGCTAAAATAAGCATATGCAATGTTTAACAAAACTTTACTGTATTAATTATAACATCAAAAAGTCCATTCATTACTTATGTAAAACTCAGAGGAGTAAAACATATTTGTAAAACTTAAATAAATAAAGAGTTGCGCCATGAGTGCATGATACGCCCGTCGCTTTTTCAAAGAATAAAGTTCCATAACTCCTCAATGTCATATCAGAAATTTATAAAAAAAACTATAGGGAGGTTATTTAAATAGATATAAATCAGTCATCAAAGTTTCATGCAAACTGCTCAAAGCACTTTTGAGTTATTGTCCGAAAAATGGAAAATCTCCCTTTTTTATGAATAAAATTGCATATCTCGGAAACGTTAAATCTAAATTTGTAAAAATCAAAAGGGAGCTTACGTCCATAGATATAAACAATTCACCAAAGTTTCATGAAAACTGCTTAAAGCGTATGATTTATTGTCCAAAAACTAGAAAATCACCCTTTTTTTGATGAATAAAACCGAACAACTCGGAAGAGTAAAATCCAAAATTTATAAAAAATTTAAAGGGAGCTCACTATATAGATATAAACAATTCACCCAAGTTTCATGCAAATTGGTTGAAGCGTTTTTTAGTTATTGTCCGACATGTTGACGACGGACGGAAGGACGGACGGAAGGACGGAAGGACGGACGTACGGACGGAAGGACGGACGTACGGACGGACAGACGGACAACGGTATACCATAATACGTCTCGTAAACGGGCGTATAAAAAACGAATAAACACGGAATAGCTAGGAACTATTGTGTGCCTTTCGAATGTTACATCGTAAAGTTTGACAACTTTGACTTGTTCTTGTATATGTCATAAACACACGATACATACATGCACCTCGGTACTTTGTGTCTTTTTTGTTTATGTAACAAATAATTCCTTCAAAATTTCGTGCAAATCTGATGAGTCAAGCAATTTCAAAACTGACTTTCAAACTTTGTTCTTATAATGTCCAAACACCACTGTCCAAGGTAAGGGTTGGGCTGAGCGCTTCCATACATGTTTAATCCTACACATTCTTTAGTTAAAACAGTCATTGCCTTGTGTTGCTGTTTCTCATATTTGTTATTCGTGTATTGTTTTGTGTTGTCATGTTGGAGCTTTTTATAGCTAACTATACGGTATTGATTTTATTCATTGTTGAAGACTTTACAGTGTCCTCTAGTTTTATGTTTTCATGTAATTTGGCCTATGGTGGATAGTTTTCTCATCGGCAATCATACCACACCTCTTTATTTCTAAATACTAAACATTCAATCTATTGTTGTATCCATGTCTAAAAGCTAGATGCATGATCTATCAATACAATTCATATGCTTAAATCTTTCGAACTATTTTGTTATAATTCTAGATGAATGAATATTGAAAAATAATATCTGCAATTTTATTTTATTAGATGATGATATAGTTAAAGCTTAGCACACAATTATTGAGAATGCACTATGTCTCTAATTCTTTTCAGTCCTCATAATGATATGGAATCTGCAAAGAAGAAAAACGTGTCTAATTATAAAAAGAAAATATATAAAGCGGTTAAATTTTTCTGTATTTGATTGATATTGTAATGTTTTATAATGCAATTAGTTTCATGTAACTATGTATTGCTAAGTCAAAAGTAAAATAACAAAAATACCGAACTCCAAGGGGAATTTACAAAAATGGCAAAATCAAAAGCTCATTCACATCTAACGAATGGAAAACATATTCATGACTTGGTACAGGCAAACCCTTAGGTAGAAAATGGTTTTATAGCTATCTAAACCTGTCAATTGACAGTCGCATTGAATTCCATTATATTGGCAACAATATTAATGTGTGAGCAAAACAAACAGACATAATAGGTCAAAAAGTCAAAAATATGGATACAGAATATATAATCTTAATCACTATACAAACAAACTATGTTGTATGGTTCTTAATCAATTGAATGACGTTTGTTTTACATCCACTTGTAAATGATACATGTACATGCAAAACGATAACATGCGAAATGCGATCAAAAAAAGTTTTTGCTTAGTCCAACCTGCTAAATCGTATTTTAGTTTGCAATCTCAAAATGTTACGTAACAATCCACAGGAAGGCATTAACTATTCATAATGTTCTTTTTATATCCAGTATACACACGTGTGAACATTGAGCGTATTGAATGGAGCAGCACGGATGACAAATAAATTATCGAAAAACGAATACTGTTAGCATATCGATTACGGAATCCTGTATTTCTTAAATTAACCGCTCTATATTTCGTACCTACAATACATTAATATACTTTGAATTGTTTGAAAATGTCACATATCAATATATTTTATTCATATGGCAAATAGTAATTTGAAAAAAATACTGTTGTTTTTATTTATATAGATTTGTTTTTATTTGTCCCCGTTGTGTCCTGATGGTACATATATTACCCCCTTTTAATAGATAGTCTTATCAGAAAGTGATACATACAATGTTATGCAATTAGTTTATCCATCAGTTAAAAGCATTTGCAGACGTCATCCTCTATTTTCAGTGTTCCATCATTAAAGGTAAAAATAGCACATTCAGCCAGATTTCCTCCATTTGTAAGTACCATTTCCTGTGTTGATGTTTTGATGATTGCTTGTGAATCTGACAGCTGCGCGGTGTAGACACAGCTTGATCCTACTTTTGATTTATAGAAACATGAACCAGAGACTCTAACAGTAGCTTTGCATTGTACTATCTCTTCTCTCATAGAACAGGCAGCTGTTGAATAAAACAAAAAATATTAAAATATGAAAAATTCAAACATCAAATCATATTTCTTAGACATTTTGGGGTCCTATATATCTAAAAAAAATTTCAAAAGCTTGCGTTGACATGAACAATGTTTCGTTTTGTATAATTTTGCCCGAAGTATTCCTGTCTATGAATATATTTGGAACAAAAAGTTGCAGATACCTTAAAGTTCAATGCGGAAAAAACAACGGTAATGTTTGTGTATTAGATAAATCAAATATTTTGTATTGAACTTTTCATTTTAGACACTAGTGTATATCAAAAATTATCTGAATAATTTACCCTTATTATTGTAATATAAAATTACAGAATAAAAAGTAAATGCTGTGCACTGCTATTCCTTAACAATAAGTGAACAAAGCAACAATAGTGTTTGCTACTAAATAAAGATATAGCAGTTTAATTTTGTCAATTTATTTAAAAAAAAGAACAAAGAACAATATAATGATTCCTATATTACGACTTCTATACATATTGTAATGCGATGATTTAAAATTAACACAAGTTAAAGCAAGTAAACTTACCACACATAGGTATCTTACAATATTCCCAACGTGTGCTTGGATCATTTGTATAACACCATGGTTGTCCGCTGTTGTCAGGATTTCTACAGTAATTATGTTCCGTTTTAAGCTTGCTAAACACGTGTTTGTGTGGATATTGCCGTTCCCAATACTGACAGGTACGCCCAGTTTGTGTCAAACTAATTAGACCTTTGTATTCCGTACCCTTTGTAGATTTTCGACATTCTGAAATATTTATGAATAAATTGAGATGTGGTTTATACGTCGTTGAGCCTGCAATGCAACGACATAGCAAATAACGTTAAGAGAACAACACACTTTTAGGTTGTCTTCAATAATTGATCGATTTCATTTATATTTTTTTTAACTGAAAAAAGAATTTTCCCAAGCATCACAATCCGGATAATCACTTTGTCATTCTTCGGACAACATATGTGTACCGATTTTTATAACAAGCTAATCTAAAAAGATGTGGTATGATTACCAATAAGACAACTTTCCACCAGAGACCAAAATGACGTAGACGTTAGCAACTTTCGGTCTTCGACAATAATCAATACATATACCACATAGCAAGCTATTAAAGGCCCCGAAATGACAAAAGTAAATCGAATTCAAACGAGAAATCTTATACTCGTAAAAAACGATGCATGAAGTTCTATTACTGGACGTTAAAAATAATATTTTGAATAAAGTATGAATTAGTTTTAACATTACTTGTTCAAAAGCTGCATTCATTTTCTTGAAGTTGTTTTAAAGTGTATACGAATGAAAGTAACTCTTGCATATTTCAAAGTTTAATTAAATAGTTTTATAATTAAAAAACAAAGTTATGTCGAAATACGCAACTCTTGAGTAAAAAAGATACCATTATATAAAACTACTATATTAATTTATAAGGAATTTATTTGGACTAAATTTGAAGAAAATACTCACCATCAACATCCTCTTGATCTTCAGGTGCTTTGTATAAAAAATATAAATACACTTTATTCTAATTTCAATTTCGAAGAATAATCCCAAAAGAAATGTGTTAAAGTTCGTACACATTGACTAAAATATTAAATATGATTATTTTGTAAACATATCAATGAACTAGTCAACAAATTGTTAACTATCGCTAACTCTAAGGAAATGTGTGCAGATTCATGTCACTATATGACAGTCATATCTGCAAAGATTCGTATCGTTTACTGGGTAACAATCACACCGAAAGATAAATCTGCATATCATATTCAATTCTACCGTTGTGATATATTCAGATTAAAAAATATGTAAGGGCCAACTCCTGTCCACATCCAAATAGAAATAATAAGAAAAAGAAAAAAGAAAAAAAAGGAAATTCTACAAAGACAACGGGTGTTGACTATTTATTGAATCCGATCGTAGTTCATTATGCTGTGTTCAAAGAAAGCCTTACAAATAGTTCAAAGAAATATACACACATGCTGAAATTGATCCTGTCCAACTGATCTTTAAAACACGATTTAACTTAAAATTTAGATTTACCTTTTGGTCTGCACATTTTGTTACCTTGAATTTTCTTTAAAATTGATTCGATTCATGAGATTTAAACATCGTTAAAATACCGTTGGTTTGATTATGTAATAGGGTAACGCAAGTAACAAATTGTTTGCAAACATGCTAAATAAAGAAGTAGAGGTTAAGACACTTACTCTTGCATGCTCCCAATTTTGTCCTGACTAAACCATTCTCGCATCTGCATTTTCCTTTGACACACCTTTCATTGATTTTACACTTTTGCTTACATTCAGCTACAAACAGAATAGGAGTGCAAGTGTTTATTGATCTCAAAATACTTTTTTACAATTTGACAAGGGAAGAAATATGTCAAAAGCATACTGAAAATTTTTTTTTTGAAAATTTAAACAAAGAGCTTTGCGAGGAAAAAAGAAAAACCAGAAAAAAACAGAAAAAAGTAAAGACGTTAAAGTGGATGGATTAACTTGCAAAAATGTTTTAAATGCATATTGATCACATAGATAAATGAAGTTCGTCATTCATGCTATTTCAGCTTTCCAACATATACTCTTTAAAATTAACACCCCGCAGCACCTTGTTACGGATTTAACATCTCAAAGTTGATAAGATATTCCAGATTGTATTTGTATTCAAGATTGGATTACAAATTTCAGCGTTGAACAGATATACCAGATATTACCAATGCAATAAATAAATTAACTTAAGAAAATTATGCAACTAAGACAAGACTCATTTTTTATAATTTTGAAGTAAAAGTGTTATAGAAGCTATCATGACTTGGTTGATTGTTTTCGAAAATCCATGTTTCTAACATTCACTTGTACTTATTCTGTAGAAACAACTTCACTTTGCTTATGACACATAAAGAAGTTGGCCCGGTAAGACTCTTTTTTGGCCCCAAAATATAGTGTTTTTATAAATTTGTTAAAAACATAAACTTTTAGCTAATTTTTGAATAGTAGAATACTTTTATTACATTAATATTGACTGTTTTTGACAATACAATGCACATGCATCAGGTACTAGTATCATTAATTGATGCAAAATTACTTTATTCTTCACAATTTTAGCATTTGTGCTAATATGTAGACAGTTTTTGTCTAAAATGGAAGTGACCGCACTTGTATTCACTCTTAATATTTAAATATATGTTGTATTTGATGATAACACATAACATGTATAAAGATTGAGGCTGAACATGAATGCGGCCATTTATATTTTACACAAAAACCATCTGAAAAATGACGTTTTATAGCATATTTGATAGATTATTTTTATATTCAAGCTTAAATCTGAGCGTGTTTAATGACAAAATCAGTTCAAATCTAATACATAAACTAATTGAATTGACTGAAGAAAACACTTAATTTTCTAAAAAATGTTAAAAATCTTTTATCAGAAGTACTTCAAATTTCAGGCCAAAACAAGCTGTTACCGGACCTTCTCCTTTCTGATTGATAATTAATTTTACAATTATTCTATTATAATGATACTACAGCTCCAATTTGGTTATTCCCTGTCCCCTAACCGGTCGCAATCCTTTAGGAGTTCATGCGATCCTAGTTTTGTTTCTGACCTTGATTTTCTTGATTTTATTCGATTTACGAAATTTGATCATCGGAAAACAACTACTGTCGCCTGAATTCATGACTCCCCGAGTTTTACTTATGACTCAGGCGAAACAGTTCATTTGATTTTAAGGATGTACTTTGGTGAATTTAAAAAAAAATCTAGAATTTAAAATTAATACTATTACTCAGAAGAGCATTAGCTAAGGAACAAGATAAGCTAAAAATATTCATAGGTCATGGAGCTCCTTTTCAAGATATTTATTTATTTTTTTTTAAATGGCGGGAAAAGGCTGACTCGGACTTTTACCTTATATTTTCATTGGTATTATTTGGGTCTCAAATCGAAGAAAAAGAAATCTAAGATCTGCTTAAATTTTGGTAAAAGACCTTTTATGAGCTATTGAAGTCTTATATAAAGAGAAAAATGGGTGTCATGGGGCAAAATATTTTAACCTGTTTCGAAGGAAAAAAACAAAGGAGTCCGAACATCTGACACAAATTCCTAAACCTGACCTAAGTACATCCTTAATTATAATTTCAAGTGCAATTTCTTGAAATTATAAGTACTATGGTATATTTTACGATTTTTGTTTGTATGTGTACACACATCAGGCAGAGCCTGGGCTTAGTTTACACATCAATTAATTCCGTAAAAATAATAAGTAGATTATTTTATTTTTGATTTGTTAATTTTACTTTATCAAACATTGACCAAGTTCAATAAGGCTTGGGTATATCAAATGTTACGAAAGACTTCAAAAAAGCTACCTTACAAATGTTTTCATTGTAAAGTAATGTGACATACTGGCAAAAGAAATTAACTTTTGATACATTTCGAGAGAATAGACAAATTCCTCCAAGGTCAAATTTGCCTGATGGAGTAAAATATTAAGTTCAATACACAACAGTCAAAACCGTCTAAGGTCAAAGGTTAGCCTTATGTGAGTAAGTTTAAATATAAATTCTAGAGCAATTACAAAAACATATTTCACTTGAAGGTTCTATCATCACCATACTCCTTGTTATGACAGAAGTGCAAGACTAAATCACTATACAAAACAGTTAATGTACTTACGAGTGCAAACATCCACACCATTTCCCTTGAACTTCTTTTTACATATACAACTATATTGACCTCTTCGGAGACGACATTTAGCATTTTGATGACAAATTTGTTGTTTAACAACTGTCAAAGTCGGTTTCCCGTTTTCACTGGAACACTTGGTTACAATTGTGCAGTCTGATGAAGTAAATTGCTTTCCAAGCTGAGAAAATAATAATTTAAGAAAGTTGACAACCAGAACATATTTATGAATGGAAAGATAATCAGCTTTTTAGTACCAAAAAGTATTTGTCAGTTTGATGGAAACAAAATATTTTTTTACAAAATTAAAGTTCCCTATACATTTATTTATATGAATAAAACAAAATGTTGATAATACTCCTATGACACAGTATCGACAAAAGTCACCTTACAATGTGGGTCGAAGTCATACAAAATGCTGTTTTTTTTTTTTTCGGGCATAGCTTGATAACTAGTATGTTGTACTTAATGGAATTTGGTTTTGATGGCAGATCTTTAAAACTCTAAGTGTGTTTGTTACTAGATAGACCCAAATATATTGTCTATTGCTGAATACAGTATGCTATTTTGTAGGTAGTTTTTTAACGTTGACTTTGCTGCTTGATGAACGTGTACTGCACATTATTGCTTGATGTCAGGTTCTGTTTCATTCTTAAAATATTGATTAAGATTTATAGCTTATTAGTTCGATGTTATCGTAAATATAAGTCCCTTTCCTATACAATTAACTTTCAAGAAGCAGACTTCAAAAATATAAAGTTCTAGTTGTTATAAGTAATGGCCGTTTAAGAGTTTGCAAGATATGGCCCTGTCCTAAACAATTTTGATTTTGTTAACAAAGAGAGGCAGTAACAAACTTCATGTCATGTATGTTTAATGTAATCAGGTGAAAGACTTAAAAGATCATCGCATTTATGTTATAATTGCCTTGCAATGTATAAACAGAAGATATTGTTGTGGAAACAATCGAAGTTGTATGCACTTTGAAAAACTGGAGACCAGGGAATGCAGTTTTTACTATGTATGCATACTCTGTCACATGATTTCATTATACGTCAAACACATGTGAAAACTATCAAAGAATTCGAGCTTTTGATTAAATACACCACAAGCGAGTTTGTCTACACAAGATTTTTCTTAATTGGGAGCCTAATATAATGCTCTTCTTCATCGTAATTGATTTTTTTATCTTACACACATTTTGATATCTGGGCTATTTATGAGTCTGGTGTTGAGAAAAAACGTCTAGCATATTGAATGATAAGCCAGATATCTTTGATGAATGTTTTCTCTATCAAGAATTAGTCGTAATACATAAATATATGTGTATACATACGGGATAGTATTCTCCCTCTGGTCCACGACATCCACATTGTTCTTTGGGCACACATTCATTTCCACTCAGGAGAAATCCTTCTTTACATTGACAGCCTTCTGTATTTGGTAATCTGCATGTTAGTGGAGCATCTGGGTCCACACAAGTTGCTGGACATCCACTCCCAGAAGTAGTATAGTCCATGTTATCTGGACATGTAAGTGCTAGAAAAGGAAAATGACTATTTTATCTTTTTTGACTGAAATGTTATATTTCCATCTCGATTCAGGTCTTCAGAATCGAAAAACTATATTATCATTGGAATGTTGCACACTGCCTGGCACAATTTTTTTTACAGTTTATATCGAAGTTTAAATTAGTAACTAATTTTCAATATTTTTTCACTTCCCTTCTGAAAACAAATTGGGTAGAAAAAAATGAGAATAAAAAAATTTACTTGAAGAAACATCATCACTCCCTCCTCAATTGATAAATAATCGTTGCCTTAAACAACTTGAATACTGTTCATTAATACAACATATAATATCTATTGTAAACCAACTTATTTTCGCGGATACTTTTTTTCGCGTTTTGCCGTTTCAATTCGACTTCGCGGCGATTTATTTTTAGCGATGTTTTAATTTCATTAATGTATAAATATAAGAGAAGATCGAAGTTTAACATATTAGCGACGATTTATATTCGCGTTATTTTTCTACTCGCGAAAGTAGCGAAAATTAATCGCTCGCGAATATTAGTTGGTTTACACTATTTGGTAAATTTGTACTCATATACACTAAGCATAAATCGACAGGTCTTCTTGGAAGGTGTATAAAATGTTTTTGGGTTTCAGTATTTTGATGAAAAAAAATACACTTTTCTGTACGTTTGTAACGTCATTAAGACTGATTTCCTCATGTCGTCTCATGAAAATATGTAGTAATATGTCGAATGAGATGAAGGCACGAAAATAGTATTAAGATATTTGTGAATTTGAATACATACGACAAAAATCCTTTTTCCGCCAAGTTATTGATAAACCCATGTCTTCGCATTGTTCTTCGTATCCCTCCAAAGACTCACAAATAGATTGTGCGAGTTCAGGTGATCCTTCTATACTACAGTAATCATATAAACAGGACTCATATAAATCCTTGGCCATATCCATATCTTTGTTCGCACAAGACATGAATGGGCTTTTTACATTTTTCGGATTCAATAAACCACAGTATTTATCGTCAGCGGCTTTACTGGACTGGTCTGCAGAACATGGTTCTTCCATTATAGGAACAACTACACACCTGCAATATCATTCGATGATTTATCAGTTTAACCCTAGGAACTATTAAATCTCGTTTTGTTTTAATGTAATAAAAAAAATAACACAAAGAACATTTAAAATCGACAAAAGGGTATCTTCAAAAATAACAAATCGTCAAAAAGAAGAGAAAGATCTCTAAATGCTCTCTTTTTCCCAAAAGTAATTTTTAAAATGAATAGAACCACTTATTCAGGCCCGGTCGAAAAGAACATACAAGAAAGTAGTAAACAAAATGGTTTTTATCGTGGGTACAAAATGGTAAATGCTGGTTACGAAATGGTAATTTTTGGTACGAAATGGTCAAGGTACAAAATGACTTACTACCAGAAGACTACATCCTTAAAAGAGAGCTTTCACAAAAAAGGGTAAGTTGCATTAAATTTTCACCTTTACACCAGTACGGGGTACTTGCAAAATTGAAATTGTAAATTTGGGATTGGCTTACTTGTTATCCTGTGTTTCAAAGATTCCTGGAACTGTGTAGCTTTTTCCAATAAGTTCGAATTTGTCTTTCTTTAGACTAACATCCTCACCAGTTGCTGTTCTGAAATCGTCTTTCTTTCCGTTGCAATCACCACAAAGACCAGTTACAATTCCCGCATATGTCTTTGGAACGGATACTGCCACGGTACCGACACCATTCCATGTTATCAATATGTTACATTTTGTTTGTAGCCGTACATATCTACCAGAAGTCGTAATTTCAAAGTTTGTACAAGAATAGGGAGTATAAACTTGAACGTCATTTACCTAATGATAGATAGAAACATTATAACAATATAAACATATGGATAGCGAAAGACTAATACAATATATATTTACAGGGCGGGCATAAAAATAAAAAAACGAAAGAATCATTTAGCAACAGATGAAAAAACATGTAATTGTTACTGATACTGCGACTAAAATATTAATCATTAGCTGATTGTTTTTTCATTACTTGAAAACGTTTATAAATGTATTTGTAACGAAAAAGTAAAATAACAAAGAAACCGAACTCCAAGGATTATTCAAAACGGAAAGTCTATTATTAAATGGCAAAGTCAAAAATAAATATGTATATCAGAACGATGATGCTTCTAGCAGTTGTTTTAAAGTAAACATGGTAAATACATTTAATCATTATTTACTTTCTTAAAATTACAGTATATTAACGTCTACGTCAATTAATCCCTGCTGGATGTGTGTCTCATTGGCAATCATGTCTCGTCTTCTTTTTTTTATATTAGTATATAGAGTATAGCACTTTGTATTTTCGAATTTGACAGATATTCAGTAGTGAAAATGTCTTTCCATGCGTCACACAAGGTTCGCTCACCGTTTTGTTTTGAAAAATAAACAAAATATTTAACGGATAATTTTATTCTAGTTATTGTACAATTTACCATTTATAGAACTTTTTTGTTTTGGTTATAAGATATGTACCTGAATAACAAAACTTAACATTTTCATGATCGAAAAAATAGGAGGTGACTTGTATAAACTATTTGATCTTGTTTCGTCTATTTTTGTTTTTATCTACCCACAATCAGTTACTTACAAAAACGACGTTATTTTTATCTAGCCGAATTGTAGCATCTGCTAACTTGACCAAAACATATTGTGTATACGAGACTCTTGTGTTTGATCCACGGTGTTCATTTTGCACTTGAACTTCAAAACCACCACATTTATCAATGGATGTTGATTTGACCATGGTATAGGTACATATTCCCATAAAGTGAATAACTTGTCCATCAAAACTTTTATAATGTGGATCTCCACTAGCAACACAGGTGCATGTCTCTGTAGTAAAATACAATAAATTTAAAAAAAACATCTTCAGTTATTCCATTACCTTTGCTACCTTAAACATAACACAAATAAATTCACTAATAATTAGTTTAGTACGCACGATAGATGTTGATGGTGTAACCGAATGCTTGTGACCAAAATTTGGAATGCAAAGTAAGATGTCATGCTTATAATTAAAAGGTCGTATTATCTGCGGAATCTATACCTTAATATAGGTCCAATCACATTTCTCATAATCAAAACATTCATTATAGATAATTATAATTTAAATCATATCATCAACATACTGCCAAATTGTATTTACGGTATTATAAATGTATGCATTTAAACAAGTTTTAAAATAAAATGCTTTCTTTCTTCATACACTTTAATAATGAATAAGAAGTGGGTCAAGAAAAATATAGTTAACACAACTTTAAGAGAAGGTGGTCAGCATTACTGTTTCTTGAATATCTTGAAAGTTTAATCAATACCCCTCATCTTTTATTTCTATCTTTGTTACAATGAAAATGTTGTATTTATATGTACTTCACAGACTTTTTAACAGTTAAGGCCGAAAAGATGAATAAAAGGTTAAGCACTCAAACATCTTGACCATTTAGTTCGTTCCCATGCACAATTAGCTAGTATATTCCCTTGACTATTTATTCTACTAAACATAAAACATAATACCTATGCAGCTATTTACACCGTCTCCGATAAACCCTTTTTTGCATACACATCGACCATTGTGACATGTAGCTTCTGGATGACACACGCTTGATCCACACTTGGGTCCTGTTTCTAAAGACAACATAAGTTCTTATCAATAGCTATACCGATTCATTACGTGTATAATATTAAATTGAGAATGAAAATGGGGAATATGTCAAAGAGACCACAACTCGACCAAAGAGCAGAAAACAGCCGAAGGTCACCAATGGATCTTCAACACAGCGAGAAAATCCCGCACCCGGAGGCGGGCTTCAGCTGGCTCCTAGATAAAAATGTGTACTAGTTCAGTGAAAATTGACGTCATACTAAAATCCAAAACAAGTATTAAATGAACTAAAATAAAAAAAAAAAAAAAATACAAGACTAACAAAGGTAATTTAACTGATACTAATAGTAAGCTTATGATGTATTTGTCAGCATATGAAAAAAATACCATTAAATGTTTTGTATATAATCTCCTTAAAACTCGGCATTTTTATGATTGTAAATTAATTCTACAGTAAATGTTGTTTTAATCTCGTTTAAAAAAAACCCAATTTCTTGACGAGTCTGTTTTAATTCATTACATAATACAGAACTTTTACGCTGTATTAACCTTCAACTCTTATCCAAAGCTAAACATGTAAAATTTGGACTCACAAATGTATTAATAAAATGTGTGCTTTGAGAATCAATTACTGTCCATCCTCGAGTTGTTAAAATCCCCTGCTATCTTTAGTCCTTTTTTGTAAGTAAAAAGACTAAAATAAATATACATATTAAACGATGTGAAGTACCATTACCACATAATTGTGACTAGGTGCATTCTAAACAGTTTAAGAAATACCTTCGCAGACGTATCGAACAGTAACGTATTTGTATGTGTACGCACAAGGATCGCCGTACAAGCCGTTATTTGCTGATACCATGCATGATTTCATTCCATCACAATGTTTTCTTATTATAGGAAGTGGTTTGTCAGATGAACATGATGTCGTTTTCACATTTGAACTTCTACATTTGCCCATTTCAGTTCTTCCATATGTTGCTTCCAAAATTCTTATTGTTTTCTTCCATGGACATGTAATTCTACTTTTCAAGCCCTCACATATCACTTTTTCTGTACCAGGTTGTGACTTTCCTTTGAATACCATTTTTGTATTAGTTTGATAAACAAAGATTTAATCACGAAAACATGGATACTTTTTTATTTGTTTTTTCATTAAATAATTAGAAGAAATAAAACTTTATATATTTTTTTATTGTCGTTTTGTCTGTTTGGTTTAAACGAGCTATAAAAAAATGAGAGATATTTTTCACTCTTCCCATCGGTTAATGACGTTTGATTTCGTCAGTTCTTATTGGTTTCTTCTTTTGAGATTTACCTTGTTATACTTTTTTCTAGTCAGAAATGGTTCAAAGACAAAATGTCCAGCCATAATCACATTACGATATTAAAGTGAAACAAGTTTAGCAGATGTCGTCTGTCGTTAGTCAAAACTTTTGTTCAATATATGCTGGGAGTGGAATATCATAATTGTCTCAGAATAAAGAAAAACATGACAAACCGGAAAAAAACATGATCTCAAAGGAAAATAAATGCAGTTTGCAGCTTTTAAAAATCAGAAAAAAACAAAAATGAACCAAATTTGCTTTGCATCAACAGATTACGTTTAGGTCAAAATGTATATTGCGATGATTAATATATTCACTTTTCATAGCATATCCATATTTTAACCTGAACTTCACATTATCTTTATTCTTAAACATTACGAACGTAAAACCACACAACTATTAACGTATTTACACATTTAGTATTTTGTCACCTAATAACCTTTTGACTTCATTCAACAATCAATTTTAAATTAAGACCTCAAATGTTTTAAATTGTGATGCAATAATTTGCCGGAACTTATGTGGTTTTAAGTAATGCAGAACAAATTTGTATGTAAGGATTAATACGTCTATTTAGACATAAAAGGTGTCAATACCTTTGCATTGTTTGATTCCATCTCCTTTGAAACCTTCTGCACAAGCACAATCATAAACGCCATGGAGTAATTTACATTGTGCATTACTGTGACATTTTTGCCGTCTAATGACTTGCATTTTTGCGTAACCCGATTTTGTGGCAACGCATCTGGACACCGTCCTACAATCTCTGGATGTAATTTCTGTATCAATCTAATTGCAAAAAGACAAAATTGTATTTTACAGTTGAATATGGGTCTATCAAGCAAACACTCAAATGAGTTTCGAATTTCAATTAAAGATAAAAAAAGATAGTCAATGTCCAGCTTCTTTGGATGTATCGTTCTTGAATCGATACAATCGTTGTTAAGAGTATTAAACTAAACGATGAACAACCATGAAACAAAAGTAGGATGAATATACGGTCGCCTTCAAAAACCGAAATGAGAGTAACAAATCTTTCCATTGAAATATTATGAATACATATCTTATTTTGAAATGTTGAATTATTCAATACACTTAAGGATGAACTTAGGTGAAATTAAAAAAATCGAGAATTTAAAATTGATACTATAAGTCGAAAGAGCATTAGTTTAGGAACAAAATAAGCTAACAATATTGATAGGTTATGCAGCTCCTTTTCGACATATTTAATTTTTTTTTAAATGGCGGGAAAAGGCTGACTCGGACTTTTAACTTATATTTGCATTGGTATTTTTGGGGTCTCAAATCGAAAAAAAAGAAATCTAGAATCGGCTTAAATTTTGGTAAATGACCTTTTATGAGCTATTGAAGTCTTATATGAACAGAAAAATGGGTGTTATGGGGCAAAATATTTTACCCGGTATCGTAGGAAAAAAACCAAGGAGTCCGAACATATGACACAAATTCCTAAACCTGACCTAAGTACATCCTTAAGACTTGAATTGTTTTAGCCTTATTTGGCACACTATTTAGGTTTTTGTTTCAGCGCCAGTGATGAGTCTGATGAGCATGAATCGCGCGTTTTGCTTTCCAAATTATTAGCTTGATATCTTTATGAGTTTTAAAATTTAATAACTTACTGGATAGTATTCACCGGTAGGTAGCCTGCAACCACACTGAGCTATCGGTATACATTTGTTGTCACTCAGTACAAATCCTTTTTTACACTGACATCCTTCTGATGGGGGTAGTTTGCATGTTTTGGGGGCATGTAGATCAACGCATGTGGCAGGGCATCCACTACCGGCACTACTGTATTCCATATTGTCTTCACATATAAAAGCTATTCAAAATAAATAAATGTAGTTGTAATTTCAGATATAATGCATGCCATGTCAATACTTATAGATTACATGGAAACAAACGGAGCTGAGGGAGTAGTGACATTTGTAGACTGCACAACTTTCATTCAAAATTAGATACGTATTGGTATCTACATACATAGTACGAATATATTTTGATTTTTTTTAATTTTCATTTGTAATTGAACTACACAAAAGTGTTTGAAAGTGTAGATGAAAATACGAGAATAATCTGCGCAATATAAACACTACATCTTTTTCAGTTGGAGCTACGCGTTTTCCTGAAAATCCTGCAAATTTCGTCCTCAAGATTTATAGATTTTTTAAAGAATATATGTTAATAAGGTTAAAACCAACAAACATGTAGTAAAAAGTTAGTTTCCCTGTATCAAAATGCAATTTTATATGCAATTTTATATCGTTATCGTTTGAATAATAACAAGATAAATAAAAACATGGATTATATGAAATATTGTTTAACTCACAGTGAGGAGGTTTCACAGTAAACTATTGTCAACCAATCTATTTTCACATAAAAACAATTTACTAATAGAGTTATAGGCTATTTATTTTTCCAATTTTCAGACATTAATTGTTGTTATTTTCATTTATGAGAAGACAAAAGTTTCACATATTCGCAAAGATGTGTTTTTCGCATTATATTTCCACTTCCGATAATCGATTAAAACATCGTTACCAAAATTCATTGTTTGTACATTTTTCATATTTTGGCATAGGCACAGTGACGAAATCAACATTAGGATTCTTAAAAAGTAAATTCTAAAAGGATGATTTATCGTTAACACTAGTTATAAATTTGAAACAGCACACTTACGACAAAATTGTTTTGTTCTCCATGATATATCAACACCCATGTTTTCACATCTTTCTTCTAGGCCTTCAGCAGCTTCGCAAACAATTGTATTTAATATATCTGGTTGATCACTGTATGCACAGTAGTCATATACACAAGTGTCATATATGTCTTGAACTAATGCCGTGTCTTCTTGTGAGCAGTCTTTGAACGGGCTGCTTGGGTTAGCTTGATTCAACTGCCCACAGGCGGAGTTTCTATTCGCTTTGTTTCTCAGTGCTGACGTACAAGGATCCGGCGGGGTTGTCACGCCACACCTGAATTGATTTTAGAAAAATCATGTTGACAAACGATTTATAATTTTGATCATGATTTAGTACAATCAGGCACTTGTTTATTTGGGAAAATTTCTGTTTTTTGTTTGCTTAATGGCAACACAACTTGAGACACGAACTAATAACAGTTTTTAGAGTTAATGACAAAATAAATAAAAATTAATGAAAAAATATCAATGCAAAAAGAAGTAATAACAAAAATACCTAACTTAAAGGAAAATTCAAAACGAAAAGAGCATTATCAAATGGAAAAAATTAAATGCTCAAATACATTTAACGAATGGAAAACAACTGTCATATTCCTGACTTGGCATTTTCTTATGTAGAAAACGATTAATTAAACCTGGTTTTATAGCTAGCTAAACCTCTCACGTGTATGCCAAATAGCGTTCAGTAATCATAAATTTAATATTGATACACTTAATCCTATCAATATATTAAAATTTTCCATGATCTATTCTGATGATTAACTATTTATGTAATACGCAATGGTATAAACGTCAATGACCAAACAATATGGCCAAAAAGAACAGAAGAAGAAAAAACGGAGAAACAAAATAAGAAAAAAAAATCCAGTTTCAAATTCTTTGATCAAGCAAAATGTTTTGAGATCATGTATTTTTTTTTATTTTGCTCATTCTTTCATCATTGTGAAAAACTATTCAATTATAAAGCACTTTTAAAGACCAAAAATCTTTATCTTGGTTAAGAGCGGATGGGCCGTATCATTCAGTATAGATATTCAGTATTGTTTCGTGCTATTGTATTAAGTTCTGAATTATTTTTTTATGTTTTTTTTTTGTATTGATATTGACTATAGCCCAAATTTCTTGTATGTATAACTGTACGTGTTGTACGCTTACTTTTCGCTATTGCCTTCTCGAATCAGGTAACTTTCACCAATAAGCGTAAACTTGTCCGGTTTTGTGCGCACGTCCAAACCATCTTTTGTTCTAAAATCGTCTTTAATGCCATTACAATTTCCACACAAGCCAATTAAATTCTGGCTGAAATGACTCGGTACCGATATAGTTACTGCGCTTTTCCCGTCCCATGTAATTAAGACGTTACATGTAGTTTTTAGTCTCACATAACGTCCTGAAATTATGATACTGAAATATCCAGTTTGATATGGTAGATATCTTTTAATTCCATCCACCTACAAATGAACAAAAAACTTGAAAAACCAATTAAGAAATGAATGCTTCTTTTTGTAATTTTATTGGGGTGTAAAAGTGTTTACTGAAGCACATTTTGAATGAAGCGTGGAAGTGCTTCATTCTGAAAATGTGTGCACGATCAACACTTGTACACCACAATAAAATTACAAAAAGAAGCATTCATTTCTTATAATTACACTTTTATGCTAATAAAAAATGTTTTATCAAGTTTTTCTTTTATTTACCTGTGCACTTTCGTGTGGAAGCACGTGTCATCACAAATGTAACATTCATTTAGATATGTAGGATTAATTTTTGAATGACGCACGATTGGTGTTAGCCAATCAAACTTGCGAATTCTCGTGAAACATACATGTAATGTAATTATTCATATTTGTATATGATCATAGTACTATATTACTGATTGAAGGAATGACAACGTCTTTCCATTTAGTTTTGTTCTAAGTCAGTCCTGTTTTAACTCATTGTATACCATAAAGCATCATATTAAAAATTGAGATTAAAAAGAGATCTTTTCGTTCTTGTTGGGGGTTCCATTTTTACAAAGTATATGCATTTAGTACCAATGGACTGTTTTTGAGTTGTTTGAGTTTGGTTTAAGAAATGAAATATGTATACAATTTACAGCAAAACTTTTAAAGGCAATGATACTTAAATGGCTATTAGGAAGATAGTCTTAAAATTGTTGCCTTTTTAAGGCATATTATTTAATAATTGTCACCCCCTATTTCATCGTTCTCTTATTTTCCCTTGATATTTTTTATCGAGCTTATATGACACTTTTGATATCAACGATTCTTAAATGAGACAACATAGATGATTTCAGCTTTCTATTTGGGAAACTTCCATTTCTTTGTAGCAACATTCCAGCAGCGCCTGTATATGGATATTCCAGAGCTTGAATTTTCTACCATGATTTCTTCGATAGAGGATTGATGCTCACGGGGAAGATGTTGAACCAACGGTTCCAAATGGTGAAGTTGAGGTCACCTTTTCGACATTTTTACGGACGATATCACAGGTTAGTGGACCGTTATTGCATATCTGTGTAACAGATGACCACGGATATATTCCAATTGTCGTAACCACAATCCTGTCTTATTTTGTACTCGATTGCGATATCACCGATTAAGACTTTCAGCGTATTTGTACTTGTATGAACAAATCGACGGCTAGACATGTGGACCAGGAACTGCTTGCCCTTCCAGAGCGCAGAGTTCATCCCTAATTTTTAGTTGGATTCGTGTTTCTCAATCTTCAGTTTTCTATGCAGTCTTTTATTGGACTTTTTCGTCTCGTTTTTTTAATTTTTCCGTGTCGTTGTCTGTTTTTCTACAACTTGTGAGTATTGAATGTTTCATTGATATATTCACCTCTTTTTGTTTATGTTTCATAAAGGTTTTCCTGATTATGTTCGTATCTCAGATGCTTCTAGAGGGGCCTCGGTGGTCGAGTGATCTAAGTAGTCGAACTACTATATAACAGCTTGTCAACACTGATGTTGTGAGTTCGAATCCCGCAAAGGCAGGTGCGCTCGACTCCAATCTTAATTGACTAAGAATGTCAGTTTTCCTACCTAAGGTCTGTGGTTCTCTCCGGCCACTCTGGCTTTCTCCACCAACAAAAACTGATCACCAAGAAATAGCACAATATTGCTAAAAGTGGCGTTGAACATCAATCAATCAATCAATCAATCAATAAGATGCTACCGAAAAACAAATATGACATACGGCAACAAACGACAATCACTGAATTGCAGGTTTCTGACTGGGGACAGGCACATACGGCGTAAAGCGGGTTTTGAGGTAACCTTAACCTTGGACAGCGGTGTACATGTATCATGTCGAAATTTACAGATGTTTGATTTTAGTGTTTTTACACTTTATTTGAAACCCTACTGCTTTTTGCTAGGCCATGTATTAAATTGTTTTGCCAATCCCATATATCTTTCAACATTCTATATTAAAAATAAAAATCACTTCCAGACACAAATTTTGAAATTCTTATCATTTTCTATATAACTTTGTTGTGTAATTTATCATTAATTTCTTCCAAACCAACATGACCAATTCAGTCAAATAATATATGTCGTTTATCATTATATACCAAGAATCATATAAAACGTAGTTGTGACTTTTTATAAGAAATACTAGATGGTATTGAGAAAGAAAGACCTAAACAAGAAATAAGGCAAATAATATAAGCTCACAGCTGTGTTTATTTAAATAAAACATTCGAAAAGGGTTCAACAGAACAGGCTGCTATTTATGATGTTAGCGTTAAAATGTAATGTTGACTACCAAACACTTAGTTTATTCATCAACAAAATGCAAAATCTTTTTTTTTTAAAGTCGATCTGTTTTCTTCACATGTCATTTCGTAATATTAAAGAACCCCCTGTTTAAGTTTTGAACATTCCACAAAAAGCTGATAAAATGATTGATGTATAAAGTTTTTTGACCGATTGTATGTAAAATTCTATGGAAACGTGAGGAAAAAAATCAAAGTTTTGCTTCAGACATTAATAATGTTATCAGAAATTAATATTGTAGATTACCCTACGACTACTCTTTCAAGGGGACGCTTTGGGTTTTTTAGGTAAGAATAAACAGTCAAATCTTGTATGATTATGATCTAGTTGGCATTTACAACTACTCTTATTACAAAGAGGATTGGCTCCTTGAGATGTATAAATAAGCAGTCACATTTAGATTGATAGTAAATTTATAATTTAACCAATATCGATTCAATATATATTTATAGCTCGGGTCAGTCAAGGTTTATAACTCTAGAAGGCTGCATTATTCTTGATTGTCAAGGATTGCTTTGAAAGGATTTATTCATTTATTTTATCATTTAAAATGATGGGTACCACACGTTGAACAGGACCAACTGGCCCCTACTGAGCACGTGAAGTACCCCGGGTTTTGGGAGATCGTGGTGGTCAGTTTTGTAGTTTTATGCAGACTGTTGTTTGAGAATTCGTCTTTTTTTTTTCTTTTTTTTTTTTTTTTTTGCCATGGCTTTTGTCGGTTTCCCTTCGATATGAATGTTGATTGTCCCTTTTTTTCCATCTTTCGCCGCTTTTTATCTCAAATTGCATACATTGTACATGTATGGTTCATATTGATTTGGAATATCATAGCAACGTTATTCGGGATCATGTTTATAGTTCACAGAGTCTCAGATATAATGAAATTGTTCCTGTTTAAATTCGGCTAATATGTTTGTATGTTTTTTGAACATTCTTGAGTCATTGTTATGCCGTTATTTGCATGCACTGATTGTAGTGATGTGTGAACTTGTTTGTCTTTTCTGTCGACTTTTGTGTTTTGTTATAATATTGTCAGTTTATCTTCAATGTTTCTTTCGTATCTTCCGCCTCTTTTTATGAGAGTGTGTATTTACTCATTTCTTATCTTTTCTCTGATACCTAATAAAAGATCCTCTTGTCTTTTGATCGTTTTTTTTTTTTTTTGCCATGGCATTGTAAGTTTATTTTCGATTCATGAGTTTGAATATCGCTTTGGTATCTTTTGGCTCTTTTCTTCAAAGCTTATTATATCAATATTGAATTTTAAGATTTTACCTTGACAACTCTATTCTTTAACAAGTCAATCTTCGTCTTTCTGACGACTACGTGAACAGATCTTGTATATGAGACTCGTTTATTTCCTCTGTTTTCATTCTTGACTTGAACATGAAATCTGCATGCACTGCTTGGGTTAACATATTGAGACAAAGTATATTTACATGTTCCCATGAAATGTAATACTTGTCCGTCGAAAGATCTGTAATGTGGATCGCCGCTCGCTGAACATGTACAGCTTTCTGGTGATAGAGAATGTACAGAACATATCAAGTTCATTGAAAGAAACAACATATCTGCAAATTATCATACAGCTTTTAGAATGAAGTTGAAAACTTTGACATTAATAACTAAACTAAATTTAAAAGAGTCTTTGTAACCTTTACTCCATGTGTATGCAAATTCTCTACTTAAATTTATTATCAATTATCTTTCTTTCTCGTACTCAGCACTTCATCATGCTTAATTTTCACCGCCGTCAAATGATCTGTTCTAAACCAAGAATTATAAAGTATTTAGTAAAAAACAACCACTTAAACTTTTTGTTCGATACAGAACTAAATCGAACGACACGTGGAAATAAGCTGACCATTGTTGCCTTGACACAAAACTAATAAAATCTAAACCTTAGGTGATAGACTGATGGTGTGTCAAGTTTAAACGATGGCGTAAACGCTTAGATGTTTTCCAACCATGTGTGGTAACTCTAATGAGAAACACACTTCCGAGGAAGTGACAAAAGTAACAACAATTGGTTAATATATTAACCTTTGAATACACAAAATAACAGTAAGAGCAACTGCAATGTTCATATAATAAGAGATTACAGCCACGTTATGTAATAAATGCGAAGAATAGAACCATAACCCGAAGGTGTGTTGAATCACAACTGTTCGGTCTTTTATAAGCCATCAAACCAGATCAGCTATATTTTTAAAATCTTCCAACCTTTGGTTTAAGTCAAATACAAATTGAAAGATGCTGCATTAAATACACCATAGTATCCCCTTTAGTCCAATATAATAAAATTGATCCTCAGATGTGGACAAGTTTTTATTTTTCAAATTCAAAATATCTTTAGCTGAAATATACATAGCATGATGCCCTTTTATATTTTTGTAAACGGTACTTACTGTAACACACGTTAATGCCATCTCCTGTGTATCCTCTTTTACATCTACATCTTCCTCTTTTGCATTTACCATTTTTGTGACATTTCTCCTTGCAATTACTTAATTTGCCTGCATAGACAAACAAACTTTTATTTATTTTTAATTAAATAAGTTAGTCCATTCAAAGCCACCATAGCGAGAAATTGTTCTTAACATTTAGAAATTAAATTGAAATACCACTTACAGATGAAGAAGAGGGCTACCGAACTTACTTGAATAGCTTACTATAAAGTAAAGTTTTTGTTTATTGATGAAGGTCGTACGAAGACTTCTAATTCTTATCATCCACGTCATTTCAACTAATGGGATGGTATAGATTTAATATATGTTAAAAATGATCCCTGACTATGTGTAATCTCAAGTTTATGGCTCTTATAATATTAAAGGCTATATCATAGAGGATAAGTGTAAATAAATAAATAGGATCAAGAGTTTTATTAAGCGATGTCATGCACAACTTACTTAATGATAAATATAGTAGGGAGTAAAAAATTGTTTTTTTAATTATTCATAATAGACGCCATAAAGAAATAATAATGTGGAAGAAAAAAGAATTTGCTTAGTTAAATGTATTAAAAAAAGGACGCAGAGATGTTTTACAGCGAACCCACATATCCTTAAAACAATTCCATCCTAATTTTACAACCAATCAATTATTAAGATATAAATGTAATTTACATCAGTAGAAAGAAAGAAGCATAGGAGACGGCCAAATCGCACTAGTCGAAGAAAAACAGAAAACAGCATGCTCCCCTCCAATACAAAAGACATTCAAGTCTTCAAACCTCTGCAAAGAAAATTTATACACATCACATCTTTATCGAGGAAAGCATAATAGGAAAACTAATCTCCTGTATATCTTAACAACTACTAGTAAATGAGGATTTAGATAGGGGTCCGTCATTTCTGTTTTCTTTAATTGTTTAGGTTATTTTTATATATACTTTTTTATTTTCTGCCCATTATTCTGTATTCTTTATATTTTAGCACACCATTATTTTCTATTCTTTATTTGTTTGCCCTACTTGTCTTTATTTATTTTGCCATTTCTTCCGCACATTTTCCCCATTATTCGATAATTCTCTACTTTGTTAACCCAATCCGGACCCTCCTGAAAGTGTCAAATTGGTTTTCAAGGAAATTTGTTATCAACGAACTCACCTGGAACAAACATAATCGCATTTCCTTACGAGAAATTATATTTTGACAAATATAAAACAGAAAGCAGATACCTTGACACGGAAATGACCATTTTCCAGTTGATTCCCAGCCAGTTGATATTCCAATGTTTTTGATTTTTAATGGATTTAAAGTATCAGTCCATTGTATGATTTTCTTTCTGCGTCCGTCCTCTATTCGGATTTTTCCTTTATTCCATATAACCTTAAATACTTTTGATTTATTATGACGAAGCACTTTTCCTTTATGTTTCGCCAAGCTTCGGGCTTGCCTCTTATAACGGATTACTGACTTTGAGTTACCCCAACCACCTTGTACTAAGTCATCTCATTCTCATTATTTGAAGACACCAAAGCCATATGGGCATCATTACTAGCCATTATTTTGAACTTGATACTAAATCTTCCAGGATTATCTACACTGATGCCATAATCTGAGAGTAGTTCGTATTAGGCGTTTGGATTTTCTTTCGACATTTCAGAAATATTTACATACAAAGTACTATGACAAAGTTCAATAAAAAAGCTAAAACTAAATCTTTAAGCTAGGCAACACAAATTTAACTCCCAGCCAGTATTGAACCACAAATTAACATCCAATTCATGAGAGTAGACTTTTCACATATATTTTCGTTAGATACAAAGGAAAAATATGCACAACAAAACGGTCATCAAGAATTATTATAATCTGGCGATAAATCATATCAAAAAAGAATTTAGCGATAAAGTTGCTACCTTTACAGTTACAAATCACAGGACATCAAGTCAATAAACATACAATTTTGCCGTACAGTCCAAAATGATAAAAAAAAATAAAAGAAGAATGTGTCTGAGGACACGAATGTCCCCGCTCAAGCTTCAAACAAACGGAAATGGACGGAAACACGGACAACCGCAAGGACGGAAAGACGGACGGTCAAAGGTAACACTTTATGCCGACGGCGGGGGTATAAAAACAATGTTAGTTGAGTGTTGTAACAAGATCCATTATCTAAAGTAATTGTATAATTAATAGATTCTATAATGACCGATATCAATACAATTTACCCTTTAAATCTTGAAAGGTAGTTCTGTTTGTTTTGCCTCACTTAATACACACAGACATCATGCAGCGATGTGAAAGAAATTGACTCTCAAGATAACCATGGAGTATAAAATTGAACCGTGTTTGTTCCGTTCGTGTATATTCACTTCCTAGCAACGGACACCACCTTTGCCATTGAGATTAATAAATATCCACGAGAATTGAGAGATTGCTTTATAAAAGGCAAAATCTGACAATTTTTGAAATGGTTGAAAAGGATAATGTACTAGTATATTGAAATGTTTTGTCCAACGTTCCATAAATATTTTACACAATACAATTCTTTCAACACACTTATATACTTCAACTTATTATAAACAAAGACACAACATGCGTAATAAAAATAATAGGTTGTTATTTTAGCAGTATAAGATATCGACCTTTCATCTTTTGTGAGGGGGAAGAGTGGCAACACAACAATTCATGTAAATTAAAAACAAATACAAAATCATCAAACCATTCTGAAAGTTTGTTAAATTTACATGAAATCTTTGTTTCGGAAGGAAAGTAAAGCAGTGGGTTGCTTTTATTCACAACCTAGTAATAAAATGAAAACAACATTGATTAAAAAAGAACGAATGTTGTTCCTACTTTATTTAAAAGTTCGTTTTTGATGAACATTTTTAAAATGTGTTACAAAAACCATTGCATTCCTCCCTCTCTTAAAAGAAGATGGTTGGTTCTTAACTAGATGTAGATCAATTAACTCATTACTGAATGGGCAACATTAATACCAGAACGTATATATCTTTGACTAAAAATATGTTAAAAGGTTGTCAATATCACGTTTTATCATATATTTAGTAGTAAATACAGTAGTTTTGAATATTTGATAAATAGCCTGCTGTTTAGTCCATATCGGTCAACTTAGATGCGCATCCTTTATCACACCCCTACTCAAATTTCTCATTTATGACAGTAGTGATTCCGACTAAATTTACATGAAGTCCATGTTTTAATTTATGCAAGCTTCTCAAGAATTATTTTTCCTCATTGGGTCCTAAATGAAACGGTCATTAGGGCGTGACGTCATTTATCAAATGACTTCATTGTTTGGCATGTGACGTCACAGACGTTACCATACAAAACTTAACAAAAAACAATAAACAAAATATATCTATGAACAACAGGACGCAGATTGTAAGGTTACCCAGGTGCTTCGGATGAATAATTAAGCAGTTCTTTTAAAGCTGTTAAAACAAGACAAATGTAAACCTGAAAGTAACCCAGGTGCTAGGGATCAGAAAGCAGTTCATATATACTCTCCTGTTTAAATATATGATAAAGCATATAAAACATGGCAAAATCCGTATCACATGCCGTATCACCCTCGACCAATATCATCTCTTGGGCCTAAAGGCCCTCGGGCTGATATTGGTATATCGGGATGATACGGCATATGATACGGATTTTGCCATGTATTATTCTCTATTAATTGGTACTGATATTGATTTTGGTATGACTGATTTAGATATAACAAAGTATGTAATCCTATACAATAATGAACGAACATTAACGGTCCTCTATCCTGTCGATACTTATATTTTGGCATTGCACAAGGTCAACTTTTTTTCAGACTTTTTATGTCGTCTTTACGCAATATATATGCAGGAATATTTATATTATGGGATGCATTTATTTTAATGCTATTTGGGATAAATTTCCATATTGATTTGGAAAAACGTACGAACGTAAACTATGTTGATAGGCTGCTTCAAATAAAATCTCTATTTAGCTCATAGTAAAACAATTAACAGTTATTTGAAAAAAAAATCTGTGATTAAAATTCTTATTAGTCCAACCCTTAGGCATCTCTTTAAATACTACCAAACACAAATGTTGAGAAGATTAAGAAAATCAATGATGCTATTGTCTCTTTTTGTGGAACTCAGCTATATACAAAGATTGAAAAAAAGAAGTGTTACAGATAAACTTTAGTTTATTTTGCTTGAATCAACTTTGAAATAAAATGAACTACAATGTAGGAATATCTCATTCGCGTATCTCAACGTGCCAAATAAATAAAGATCACCATCTCATTATATAGTAATCGGTGTAAAGGAAGGGGAAATATGTACAAAGAATCAGTTACCTGTATAAATAGAGATCCTCCATGCACCACCACATATCTGACGTTTATTGCCTGAGCATGGCATTTTACAATCACTTTCTTTTCTTTTTCTGTCTTTTCGTAAAACATTCCCACAAAAGCATTCGTATCCATACTATAAAAGTAATATTCTTTCTATTATAAGTATCACCTTTTTGGTAACATAAGCTAATCAAATACACAAGGTAGTGCAAGGTATTTGTCTATAGCAGAGTAATAAAGTCTATATGTCCTATGTCCTTATGGTTTAAATACGATCAATCAATTAAAAGTGTAAGGCATAAAAACTACGACTCAGAAAACGTTTTGTTTTGGTACTTATTTGTAAGAAACGCTCCTCAGACTTAAGATTGATATTACCCCTAGGACATATTTTTTGAAAAATGTACCATATTTATGAAAAACTAGGGTTGACTAAAATAAAAAAAACACGTAGGGTATACATTCACGAGTCTAAAAACCTTACAAAATAAAACTAAAAAGACCGTGTTTCGGTGAAGAGTGATGTGAAGCACATTTTAAAAACTAATACAATGTATAATCAACCTTATTTTATACATTCATGAACACAATCTCCTTAACTATCAATGACTTACCTCAACACCTGCAAACTTGAATCCGTTTTGACCGCAAAACTGTTGGCATTTTTGAACTGTCATACCTTTGTCTTTCAGTACTTCTTTAGGTAAAATTCTAGTGCTGTCATCCTGATAACAACCAATATATCCTGATTCTTTAATGAATGGAAAAACATAAAAACTATAGATTGAATATTTTCAAAATAAATTATGCTAGGTTTCCTGTTTTATTAATGTGTAAAATGTCAAAGATGGTTTAAGAAAATCATCATTTTATTGTTTGATAATCGTTGATCAACGTTACTCAAGTTTTCTTGATCGTCCGCGTACCAAATCAAATTTCAAAGCAGAAGGTATTATAATGCCATTTTTGGGGCCCTTTGAATTTGAAAATCAAAAAGTATGAACAAATTTACTTAATAATGTCCTTCAGATATTTATGAGACATTATCTATGGACAGCAGTATTCTTTATTCATTTCGAAGCCTTATAGCTTACTTTTAAAATGGTATGGGTTTTACACATTGTTTGCGCAAGGTCGTACGAGAACATATAGCTGCTTACATCTACCTCAATTGATCTATTGCGGATATTTGTCTCGTTGATATAAATACAGCATCTTTTTATTTGGATATTTATGTTGATCTATTAGCTTGTTTGATAGTTAAATGATCGATTCCTTGCTAATATGATACGGATAATGTTTATCGTCGATTTGGAGCATTTCTATAGTAGCGATGTATTAAATAACAGTTAAAAAAATATATATAATGATTTTGATTCGTCATATATTGGTGTTGTTGCTGGTATTTTTCTACATTGGCATTTAAAACTACAAACAAAATATACATACATTTGCCTTTTTTACAAGATCTAACTCCGTCACCCTGTTCTATGTTTTTGTTTTTGTTTTGTTTTGTTTTTTTTTTTTTTTATCGTTTTGATTTCTGCCATTGTGCTGTAAGTTTCTCTTTGAAATGTGAGTTTCGAATGTCCCTTTAGTATCTCCCGCCTTCTTTTTTTTTTTAACGTCAGTAAAAGTTCATAGATTATTTGGTATGGAATTAGTGGATTGTTATAATATATATTTGAATTATAGTTTGGAATAATATAAAATCATTGTAGCAGGAGTTAGACCAAGACTAATAATAGCTCTCAGTGCTGGCTAATATATGCAAATTCAAAAGAAAAAAAAAAAAAACATATGATACCGTTTTAATAATAAGATCAGCAACCAAACAAAGACGGCGGTGCTCAGTAGGATGCTTACAAAACTGGAAGGTAATATAACAGATCACCTAACATAAATTAACATATTTGTCCTGAGGCCAACGGATGTAAATAAAATACCCCAAGTTTCCTTAGACGAAATTATATTGATAATTTCCCAAGTGATTCAAAATTTGTCTTTATTGTTTTAAAAGTGTTTTACCTTTTGGCGCCTGACAGCACCAGCAAGTTCCACAGCCTGGATAGTTTTTATTTATGCCTTTCGTGTACTTCCGTCCATGTTTTTCACATATCGATTTTTCTCCAACTAGTATCATTGCAAATTTGTTTGCGAATGTATAATGATAGCATTTCCATTTACTTGAAGCTGAAAAATATTTTCCGTTTCTTGAAGTACTTTTTTCTTTATATTACTTAAGCAAAATACTGGTAAAGTTAGTTTTTATTACTGGTGAAATCAACATCAGCCCATTATTTTTCTCGTTTGGATTGTTTTACATTTGTCATTTCAGGGGCCTTTTATAGCTGATTATGCGGTATGGGTTTTACTCATTGTTGAAGGCCGTACGGTGAACTATAGTTGTCAGTCTCTGTGCATTTGGTCTCTTTTAAAGAGTTGTCTCATTGGCAATCATGTCACAGTGGAAAAATGGACAAAATTAGATTTTGAGACTTTTCGGACATTTTGTAAAAGATTTTGTAAAATCACTGTTTTTATTATATTTGCAATATTTTACTAAGGGATTTTGTTGTATTTATTGTGAAAGGTTTTTAAAAGTCAAGTTTAGAAGATTTATTTTAAGCTAATCTAATTTCATGTTTTAATTTATTTTTTCAATTAGCGACATTTTACTTCAATTGATCTATTATTCGTATATGTTTAATTCCATGAATTAGTATGTATGTTCTATTGTTAATTATTATTTATGTGCTAGTTTTTCTGTAATCCCGTAGTTGAATTTGTCACTCATTTAGAGAAATATTTGTCAAGTCTATTCAAGTATTTTTTGGTTTGTTATATAAACTGTTTTATTATTACGGTGTGGCAGATTGGATTTAGTTTTACACTGAGCAGTTCCAACTCTGTACAATTGTATTCCATGCTGAACTATTAAATTATACATCGCGCTAACCAGAGTCGTCATTTGTTGCAAGAGTTAGTCCCAGAGTCAGAGTCGGTGCAGATTCTTCTTATTGTTTATCGTGTGTGTGTAGTTGCAGGACATCACACATCACCCAGTCACAAGATACACCCAGTTTCTATTCGTGACATTTGGTGCCAGGTCCGGGTCGTTTTGACTCTTCAGCTCAACACGCTTTCCTGATACCTCAAGCAACAAGCGAGTTTCCAGTTCCCCAGAGACGTACATATACATGTAGCAGAAATGCAGTGATGGAATACAACTTCAGGCCATAGTGGAGACCATGATTTTTCCAGATGCGTCAGATTCCAGCGTGCTCCAGATGTGGAAATCAGCATAGACAAACATTTTGTTTTGCAGCAAGTAAGCAATGTTTTAAGTGTCATCACGTAGGACATTACGCCAGAATGTGTGTCTTTTGTCCTAATCAAGAAATTCAAAAGTGCAAAGATGTAACGCAGACAAAAAATAAAATCAAAATCGCAAAAGGATAGAGATTCGAGACGGATAAAGGAATATTTCGATTCAAAATCATTGACCCGTAGTTTGCCATTTGCCAATCTTTGTGATTCAGTATTTAAAAGTTGTTTGGACTCTACTAGTATACTTAAACGCGAATTAACGTGTGTTAAAAAGAAACTTTCAACAGAACAGAAAAAAGGTGAAAGAAAACTTGTGAACCAAACTTCAAAATGTTTTCAGCCAAATATAAAATGAAATTTCCAAAATGTCCAAACTATTGAACATAAAAATAAGAATATTCCCTAAAAAAATCTAAAGGAAATTTAATGCAATTTCTAACTATGCAATCATACCACACTTTCTTTTTTTTATATATATACAGACATCTTGCATATAAACAATGAATAATAATATGCAAAATTCCCTTGCATTTGGATAATTGTAATGAAAATAAAACATTTGGTATCTATAGTGAAAACTACTTGATATTAAATTAACTACTTTGTCCTAATGGTTTTTGGCCTGTTATTTATCACACGAATGAAGAGATATATCTCGTATCCCACTGAACGGGAGTTTATACGATGTAATTTGATATTGTAACATTTAAATTAGATGTTCATGGGGTCAATGATGACTAGCAAAGGTCATGATGGAGTAATTTTCTATTAATTCTCCTTGGGAAGGGCTTGGTTATTTTTGAATTTCACGATGTCGTCTACATTATAACTCAATTTGCTATAAATTGTGGTTTGGCTTCATTTGTACTAACGTGTCTTGTCTGCAAAATGGAAAATAATCGAATTATAAGTTATAATTCTTGTAATTTTATTTCTGAGAATGATTAATATCTAACAGTTGTGTCTAATGAAAAACCAAAGGATTTGGGGTATACATCCATGACACAAAATCAGTACACCAAAAAGCACACAAAAAGCAAACGAAAAGCGCTTTTGTTTCTGTTCTTCATCTCAAAGTCACAGTGAGACCTTAATTTAAAATGAAGCAAACAAAGTCTCACCTCACTGAAAGTTTAATACGGCCCCAAGCATCGGCTTAAGCGGAATCAATTAATTTTTACTATGTATTGCAACGATCCGCTCGACATCTAGTTTTGTCGATGACTCAGTAAGTCCTAATGGAAAAGGGAATACAAAACATGTTAAGCATGAACTTGAATGATATATACCGTTGACTTTTATACAAGATTTTACTACGTCTCTTTGGTACCCTGCTGCGCACATGCATTTTCGATTTATATACAGAGTTTTAACATGATATTTACCCATGCACTTAGATCCCTTGCCTAAATTTTATAATTTTTCACAAATTACGAGAGATCATATAATTTTTCTTTCTTTGTTGACAACGATAAACGTTTTTGTTTTATTCTGACTCTGATGTTAAAGAAGCTCAACAACTTCTTTGGTAAGAAAACTATTAAATGATATAATAAAATAGTACATACATTTGACTTTTGTACAACATCTTACTTCGTCGCATTAACGTTTTTAACACTTAGCTCTTTTATGAAATTTTATCATGACAAATTTACAAACTACGATGTACTGTATTCGTTGCAATTTCTTTGTTGACACTGAGAAACATTCAAGTTTTATTCCGACTCTGATGTTTAAAAATCGCTTCGACAACGAATAAAAATGCCCATCAAAATCCAAAAAATATTTTAACTTTCTGAAACACAAAATGCATTTAACTTTTATATACCTAGTGGATGCCAGGTTAAAACTGCACCGGTAAGTCTGTTCTCGGAGTAGTTTTTGTGGTCTAGCCATTTTTGTCCATTTGTTATGATGAACCTTAAACTCGCAAATATCATTTAATAAATATAAAAACGAAAGCAATGCGCATGTCTGGAATCCTATATGCTTATGTGCTTTGTCTAGCTATATGCCATTTTGTTTTGAAAAAAATCTGACACATTGAATAACAACACATATATATATTCCATGTAAGCCCTTAAAAAGTTTTAAGTAGTGTGTGTTGATGTGTAAAAGATAAAAGAAAATTGATTTCCGAGATAAAAAAAATATTGGTGAACAATTTTGTTATATCTTGACAAAAATATACAGTCAGTTAGCAAAGAAAACTATTAATACAACGTTAGAATTTTGTTTGTAATAGCAAGCAACATGATACACTTATTTTTACACCAAACATTATATCCTCTATAAACTGAGAGCTGTACCTATATGTTTATCCTATTTGTCTTAAGGATGTTCGCTCCTCTTGTTTTTTATTTTTTGTCAGATAATCGGAATCCTCTGGTTTTATCCATGTTTTTCCATTAAGAAATTTTGTCCACTAACCCCTACTTTTCTTTTCATAATTTTATTACATATAGTTTGAAAGGCCATATTTGAAAATCTTTTAAAATCCTTGTTATTTATTCAATGTTTTTTGAAAGAAAAAGGGTGCCATTATTAAATGTATGAAAAATCTAGAGATAATCATTTCCCGCCAAATTTCCAATGGCTTATATCTCGAAAACAAGCACACGGACCCTTCATTTTTTTCTGCTTTTTTAGTTCCTCCATTAATATACTATCAATTTATGACAGTCTTTCAAAAAGCTTGTTATTTGAAACAGAGTAGCGAAAATCCTTAAAACCCTACGTAAATTATGTATTATCTTTTTCAACCTGAATATGTATGAAATATATTTTGCTAGTCTGTAAACCAATATTTTTTACTAAGATCAACAACCCCAACCCTAACCCCTTTTTCCAACGAAAATAAAACTATAAAACAATCAAATTAAAGAATAAAAACAAATAATAATTAGAATTTAGCAAATATCGATCTATGCAATAATACATCATCGATGTTCAAATTTCATATATTCTCTATTCTAATTTGAGTTAAATGATCCATTTTTTTTAATTTATTTTAATTTTATAATTAGAATGATCTTTGAGTGCAAATGCACAAATTTAAAAAAATATTTAATTTAAAAAAGGAAGTTACTCTAACAAACCTTTCAAATGTCTACATACAGATAATATTTACGTAACATCTTTAAATTTCAACTTACCAACTACTGCCTGTAGGACTGTCACAAGCAACAAAAGGAAAACTCCCGGTCGTGCCTCCATGATTCCGGCTGTTTGAGTGTCATGTGATGCAAAGTTGCTTATGTACCCTAAATAAACCCACGTGTGGACACGTACATTGATCAGATATATTGACGAATTCGGGTACGTATCTGTCAATCGAAGTTAATATTATATTGTCCTTCCAATTTGAAAAAAAGGTTTAAAAGAATTGTCGAAACAGGTTGTGTTGTTTACGCACAAGAGATGCAAAAAAAAAATTTGACAATAATTACACTTAAAGATTTTTGATTGTATCAAAATTTGAATAGCTTTTATGTATATTTTTTTCTAATATGTTATACAAAATCATCAGTAAATTAAATGAAGTAACATGAGCTGGAACATGTTATGGTGATTGTATCGTCTAGTAGGTTATAGGCTATCTATATTAAAATGATACTATTGTCCATCCGTAAATATTAATTTAAACATACATGTCTAGTACCTTCTCATATATCTGAAATTATCATTATTTAATGAAAACCGCTATCATGCAATTGTTTCCGAATATTGCATCTCCTTGTTTTGGCTACGTAACACATGTTTTAATTGTATTAAATACAATTATATTTCATCGATGTAATAACTTACACCGACTCATGTTGAATATGAATATTGTATTGCTTCTTTTTTTTTCGAAAAATACTTTTTGGAAGTTACACATGTAGAATAAGGCAAACCGAAAATTTTTGATAGGTCTAAGCTTGAGAATATTGTTTGAAAATGAAAATGCAAGCAGTTTCCCAAAAACGAAGATTTGTTTCATTCATCTTTATAATCTGTATGAACTGTGTTATATTTAAGTGCCAGTCTTTGTAAAAATCAGGCAATTTAGAAGAATTTCAAAACATGACCGAAAAAAACCCAACCAACTTAACCATCCAATTTGAAGTTACGTTCATCCTGAGATAGGAATGGTAGGTCTTTCGTTTTTCGTTATTCTGAAAACATTTTGCCGTAACCTTGCAGTACTAAGATATATAAGAAATCACTGTGTCCTTTTTAAAACGGTCTTTAGAACCGAGTACAGGGACTCATAATCTTTTCCATTTCATTTCATGCTACCTTTGTTTTACAGTCAAGGATATTTTATGAATGATATATATGACCGTGACGAAAAACAAAGGAGCAAGAAAACTAAGAACAAAACAGTAAAAGATAAGAAAAATCTCCCCCCCCCCCCCCCCCAATAATATTTGAATTGAATGGAATATTTAATGAAAAATGAAAACAACACTATATGAACTTCTTGCTTCCGAAGTGCTTTTCTGGATTACCTTCATCCGTAACGCTCAAAGTCAAATATTTGAAAACCAAAAACCGAAATATTTGAAGACTTGTATGACTAAAAGCACCTAATAAATAGCCAAATCCATTTAAGTTCAACTTTGTCTGATGGAGTTGAAACCTAAGTTCTTTATAATTTTTAAATTTGTAAACAGACAATGTTGAATGATTAATTGTTGGTTGCTTAACGTCTAGTGACAAATATTTTATGCATGTTCAGGACGAGAACAAATTAACAATAAATCCAATGGGTAGGTCCTGCAACAGAGGACGTTTTAGATGAAGGTTGGGAAATTTAGACTGCCAATGAAAACGAGGGTATAATGGATATTGACATAAATGTTACCTTGCAACAGACCCCCTACGGAACCCTCAAAATACTGTTGCAAGTGTTCGTAACGTGCAGTGAGCGTGGTATTTTCTCTGCACGCCCCATTCTGACCGGACGTGGCGTACTTGAGGCAAGAGTTTTACTGCCGGTCGGAAATGGACCTAAGTGACCATATTTCTATTCCCCTGTCCCCACTGGAGGTAAACAATTTTAGAAATATTTGTTATAAATCATGCAAGCACCAAATTACTGACTACTGAGCTGATGATAAACTCGGGGACTTATCCAATGTATTTAATAAACAACGAAATATACAATCTGTAAGCTTTAATACGATCCTTTAGAAATGAAAAAAAAAAACAAATAAAAGATGTATTTAATATGAGTACACCCCATAAATGAATATACATTGTAAGTTTTTATTCTTTGTATTTCTGATGGAAATGAAGCTATGAGGGTGCTTTATGTGACCTCTTCACAGTAGAAGCATTTGAACATTATTCTAGATTTCCATTTCTAGAACGATACAACATGTTACCATCAAGATTAATAGTAACTGAAACACTTAGGATGTATTTTCTGTTAGAAAAACACACATTTACCCGCTTTACACACTATGTGTACGTACGTCTCAATTCAACATGTCTGAACTCACATAAAGATTGTTTACATCACGAAATATTTACTGTATGAATCCATATCTGTACACTAACATGAAGATGTCTTTTAACGAAATGAACGTGTTAATATAGCATTATCAAACTGGTTTAATGCATTTTTTCGTGCTTTGCAAAGTACTTTATTTGAACTTTTTCATTGTTTTTTAAACGTAAATGCACTGACATATTAAAGTTTAAGCCATAGGAATTTTGTTTTTCTCTCGATAAAACATGGATGCACTCGAAAAAAACACGGACTTATAAAATTTAATTTACTCTGCAAAATGTCATTTTCTAAGAAAAAAAAAAGATTTTTTGTAAAGTGTTTGTAATCTAAGTATGTAAAGATTCAAGTACTAGTACGCATTTCCGTTGATATTTGCATTGGTTGTAAGGTTAAATTAAACATTTATTAAACAAAATATTGGAGGGTTTGATAATATCTTTTTAACACAAATACTAATATACCTTCTTTGATCATGTATATGAGCTTCTATCATCTTTTTAACGTCTTTCCAGAAAGGAAGTCTGTCTGTTTACATTTTTGATCATATTCACTCGAAGAAAAAAAGATCAAATCACTAACAAAAACACCATCCAAGCCGGAGGCTATACATACTTTTAAAGACATGTACAAGAAACGAGATGACATATTCTCAACATTGTCAAATATAGTGAAAATCTGTACACGGATAACCTATTTTGTAAAAATATTTTCTTTTTATCTTAATCTGCACAGACCTATCTTTAAATCGATATATTTACGAACAGACAATATTACTATATTGAAAGTTCATGCGGCAACAATGAGCAGATCTGCGTATTCGAAAACTTAAATCTGTAAAATGGGTATATTTTTGGGAAATTGTAACATGCTAAAGATTATGTGAAATACTCCTAAACTTGTTGACTTGAAAGAGCTTTAGATATTGTAAGTACATAATGTTTTCCATTGTTTTTTGTCAATATGCTGCAAAGCTTAGCAATTAAAAAAAGTCATAACAACAAGCTTCTAATGCATTTATCAAGATAAATAATGAAAATAAAACATTGTGCATTTGTATGTATGTTTCAAATATTACAGTTTAACAAATACTTTCTTTAAAATGTATACGTTCAATTGTTGTTTAGAAATAACTTTTAAGCAGTATGGTTATCGGCATTGTTTCACTATTGCTTTTGTCTACTTTTTTTTATAAGATACTAGAACACACTTGCGACATCGCGTGTCCGTGACTGAATTAAAGTACCTATGCCTTTTTTTTAGCCTTGATTTTAAGTATTCGCATTGTCATTTGTTAAAGTTATGCTGATTGTAAGATGCACAGTTTTTTCTGTTTTAAAACTCTTTCTGTTTAAACCCGTCCTGGTTTTCTTCCTACAATAATCTTACTATAAACTAAATTATGTTTTTAAACTAATTAACCAAAATTATTTGTGGTATTGAGGTGGAAAAAACAGACTTGTTAAAAAGTGTTCTATAGTTTAATATAGATTTAAACAACTACTGGAAGAATTCCAGGTTCTCCTTTACAGAATACAGGAATTTACAGAAGGCTACAGGTAACGGAAACTACATGTGACATATACTATTGGTATTGGTTTCGGATTCGACCCAGAACTTGTTAATTATTGGTATTATTAATTATGTGGAAAACAAAAGGACCTGGAATGGTGTAATTTTAAACAACACCATTGTCCTGTATTAGTTATATATAAAGATGATTTCTTTGATTCGTCGTTTTTACATTATGCCGGCTAACAAATTGGGCTTCGTTATATTAGAAGTATAGATACTTTACAATTGCTCTTGCGACATCAGTTTTCCCACAATAAACGCCTAAATAGAGCTCTATTTTGACAAGGTTTGGCAAATTTTAATTAAATATCTTACCCAAAATGTATGAGAAGGACATCGTTTACCGAACCAAAATTCTTTCGGAAAGTTAGCAACGTCCTTTGATGTAGGATTTGACAAAACATGTATAATTTACAAATGTGTATCAAAATGCCTTCAACATTAATATGTAGCACTGGATAGCTATCAAACTGGAAACGTGTAAATTTTTCAAAACATATTTTAATCATATGATATATACTTTTCAATACTCATTTTCCAATAGGATTTGACAACTTAATAATTCTGATTATTTTTTCAAAACAAATACAGACCAAATTGGCCCTACCTCTTTGAACTATTTTTTTTGCGTAAAGAATGTCTAACTATTTCTTACATTTTCGGAAAACACGCTTAGTTTTTGACTTTAATGCAACCACCTTTCACACAGCTGACTATTTTACAAGCGATAGTTGAATATCTGAACTTCATTTGTTTGCCCAGTCGTAAAAAAATCGTGCGGAAAAAAATTAAATCAAAGTTGAGAAATATTTTCAAACTGAAAATTTACACCCTGTATTTCAACATAAATTATTAGCAAATAGCTTGCGTTTCTTTTGATACAATGGATTGATTTTGTGCGTATTACATATTTAACTATAACCAAATAATTTTGATGAATAATATTGTGTGTTTTTTTAAAGAGAATTACATTTTTGTAACAATTTTATCATTATTTCAAAACACGACCCCTTTTTTCAACTTCTTTTAGATGTTTTTTTGCATATTTGATTTGATATTTTTTCAAACCAAAATCATATCTAATACTTATTCCAAGTTCATAACGCATTCAATACATATAGTTGTTACTAAATTATTCTGATTTTTTTGCATTTTTACGCCCTCATGAATATTCCAACGCAATTACGGAATTCATTTTCGCTGTAATCACTTCTTTACCTGTATATGATAATGTCA